TGGGTGGGGGGGGAGTCTTAGGGTATGGAGGACCCATCAGACCGGGAGGTGAGGAGGGGCTGCCAGATATCGCTGATGGAGAAACCGATGTCTTGAGGTACGGTGGGGTGCTTGGAGATTTCCAAGGCTTCTCTAATGCGTCTTGGGTACCACTGTTCAATGTTGGCGATGAGGTGGGCTTCTTCCCAGTTGATGGTGTGCTTAGGGCTTTCCTGACAGCAATATGCATCCCTTGCTTCCTTCTCATGATCACATCCCCCCCCCTGTGATTAGAAATTGAAATGTAACAAAATAAAGAAAAAGATATTGTAAGAAGGAATTCCATGAAAAAAAGTTTACCTTGGATGCTGTTACCACTACAATAGAGAACAGGAAATGATTGGTAAACACCAAACAAAGAACGTACATGTACATGTATAGGACAGTAAGGGGGAAAACCAAAAAGGTCTATAATTTATACAGTGAAATACAAATGCCAACAAAATCTAGAAAAAACTACTGCGAACTGCTTGCCGACTAAAATGACGCTCATTATTCCAATCCATTGTCATCCTTTTCAACAGTTTGTAATGTAACATATTTTATTAATTGTCAATTTCAAAATATCCAAGCTGGCAATTCCAAATCCCCCCCCTGTGACCTGGGTTTTTACCTTATGTCACTATATAACAAACACAGTACACATGTACCTTGTTGCTGCAATTGAGAACCGAAATGCCTCTGGATAGCACATTTTCTTGATGAGACTTGCTGATGACATGGCACGATTTGTTCTTGCAGCACTTTTGAAATTTGAAGCAGTAATACGACCAGCTGTCTGGGCCAACCAGATCTTGCAGTTAGCCAGACCTTTAGTTCCCTCTTCCATAACTTGACAATGCTATGTTGTTATCTGTGTTGAACAGAAAATAGACTTTGGCTCAATACATTTGTTACCACATTCATCTTTTCACGGAACAAATATTTTCATCATATCAAGAGACTAAAACTGGTAATCAAAAAAAGTATTTTTAGCTCTAAAAATTATCCCTTTTTTCTTGGAGGCATTCTATCAGCACACTTATTTAAAAAACTGATTTGAACTGTTGGTCATGTATTTAGCCCCATACCTCGAGTGAGTGATCTAGTCTCAGTTGGGCATGCTTGCTGTAATGCAAATGAAAGTCTGACTTCTGAAAAACTGTTCAAATTATTGTTATTGCTTAAATTATTGAAGGCTTATATTCTCCATTCAAGGAGGCTAAAACTGTTTCAGAACAACCATTCTTGATTTTGGATGTATTCTTTAGGTTTAAAGGCCATTTACCCATGTGACAAACATGTAGTGAAATTACAAGAGGCAAGTTTTCAAAAGTGACAAGAGTTCTGCTGGGTGGAAAACTGTACCTTTACTGAGTCACTGACAGTAGCACGTTTCTGAAGAAGTTGAGGGTAAGTCAGGTCCAAACTGTCTGGGTCATAGAGAGATGAGAGGGCCTTTGGGTACTTGTCAGTAGCAGAAGGGGGAATAAATTCTTGGGCATATGCATCCATGACACGAACAACTGGCCGAGCTGATACTTGCTGGAGAGATGCATGGAATACGGCCAGTTCATCTGATGTAGGGGGTGCTATAGCAGCTTCTGTCTGAGGTTTCTTGCAGGTACTTGTTGAAGGCTTTCTGAAATTGATGTGTTTCACTTCTGCAGCACATACCTGTAATTGAAAAAAATGGGGATATATTCAATGATTGGGCACATTATGCAAGAAATAACATCTGCATAAGGGCTTCTATATTGGAAGTTTATGAGAAGTAGTTTCAGATTGTGATTATCGTTGCCTAAACCAGCCATTTTTCCATATTACAAGAATACTTTCCTCATCTTTTTCTTACATTTCTTTTTGCTGGTAGCCATGCACACTTCTGAGAAGTACAGGCATCTGATCCTGGAGCTTTCCTCAACTGGTTGGCTTTTACAACACTTGATGTTAATGCAGCAACATGGCTATAGGTTCTCCCAATCTGCAAGGGTAGTAGATAACAATTGATAAAGACAAACATTGTATATCAGAAAGGTCAGTTTGCCTAACAGACATATCACTCAGACAACCAGGGTCATTTATTAGTCATACACATGAATATTTTTCACTTTACAGGCGACCTGCCAATCAGGAAAATATTTTTCCGCTAAGTGACATCAACATGTATCTTACCCGGCCATGCATGTACAGTGTGCAGCTATAATTTCTCCACACTTCTCAGCAGCAAACCATGGAACCAGAGGGGTTGCTGTCATTCTCTGGCTGTGTTTCACCCTGCCAATCACCACATATATGGTCTTCCCGGACCCAGATTGGTATGTGTGAAGTCGTATATCGTGGACCCATCCAGCCTTGACCAAACAATCTGATCCTGTCATGGATTACCATGCCTGCAATTTATGGAGGGAAAAGTGCAGCTTACAAACTAAAGAAAAATTTTCTGTCCAACTGCAACATCACTTTGCCTACAGAAAATTTCTTCTTCCTTGCTGGACTAAAACTATTAACATTTCCTGATAGGTCCTAGTATAATCTAGGCTTCCAACTATACAGTAATTCACCAACCATGCCAACAGTTAACAGACACTGTTAGGGGGGGCTAATTACTAACGTTATAGTTACTGAGTTAGGAGCAGCAATAACTAGAGGGAATGCATTTTGTGGCAAGGCTGGCATGACTAGAGCCTATAGAGCAAGCTTTTCCTGGAGGGGCTTGAGTAAACCCTAGATTGTGACTAGATTGAAAACAAGAAAAAACAGCCTGATTCCGCCTTGGTGCAGTCAGTAGGCCACAGATCTGGCTGTTTTCAGACTGAATTTGGTGGGGATCAAGTTCAGTTACAAAATTTAAACTGAAGTTAAACTAGAAAGGATCAACGTTCATGACGTTTTGGAAATTCGTTCTCTAATTCCTTTCTTTCTCTTCTTAGGTTAAATTAAATTAAAACAGACCTAGGCAAACAAGTTTTTACTAGAAAAAGCAGGAGTAATCTTACTCTTATGTCTTCTTTGTGTGCTGGCTCAGAGTTGAAATCATGTAGATGTACATGTCGTTCCACTGCACGTCAGGAATTATTTCCGGTGCAGCCTCCAGCTTTTTTGTGTTGATCTGATACGGGTCCTGTTTCAGGTTACATGCCTCTAATTTAGAAGCACCCATCAAGCCTTTAGCATAGGCAGACAAAAAATCTGACATGGTAACAGTGAGGGAAACAAAGTATTGCTATGTGAAATACGCTCTTTATTCAGACTTTGCACCGTGCGATTCCCGGTATAACATGTACTTGCACTAGTTTGCGTTAGCACACGCACTTCAACGAAAGCGCTTGACCTCGAAGATGGCGACACCATTTGTCGCTAAGTTGGCAGAGACGTCAGTGCATAAGGTCTACATACTGCCATTGCACATGTTGTAAATGACACATGTTGAAAGTGTTTCAACATGTAAAGAAAAAAATTCAGTCTAAAATTTCCTGAACTGAGTAGGCTGTTTCCTGAAATCTTCAACAATGCCTCTACAATGCTACCCCCCCTCAGGTAACCTTATTTTCCCAATTTAAATAAAAGTGCCATGTATACAAGGTACATTACATCATGTACCTGATTTGTGGGTATGTTTTCTGGTGAACAACAAATGGTGTACAGATGTTCGTATTGTCTCCCGTGGGTGTACCCAGATTTGAAATATTTGACTATTAAGTGTAGACCCTTTTATTTGCCAAGGGAATTTTTGTCAGTTACTTTAACCTCTGTGTACATTCACCCTAAGGAAGACACAGATGCAGCTGTGAACGGTCTCTCTGACGTTATTTCACACTACAAGAACGCAGGCCCAGGAACTTTATCAATTGTTGCAGGAGACTTTAACCACGCGGATTTGAAAGAAGTTCTTTCAAACTATCAGCAATTTGTAACATGTGCCACTCATGGCTCTGCAACCTTGGACCATTGTTACTGTCTGGTGAAAGGAGCGTACAAATCAATATTACGCCCCAACCTTGGCAACTCAGACCATTCTGTAGTTCTGCTCATTCCAGCATATAAACAAAAACTGAAACAGTTTAAGCCTACCAAGAGAACTGTTAAGGTGTGGTCGGAGGCCTCATCTGAACAGCTACATGTACGTGCTTGTTTTGAGTGTACATGTACAACGTGGGACATTTTTGAGCATGAAAACAGTCTCGACAACTACACTGTCATTACAACAGACTACTGTATATTAATTTCTGTGCAGATTCCTGCTTACAGACTAAAGTACTTTTTCAATACCTCAACAATAAGCCGTGGTTCAGTAAGCACATCAGGACATTGCTGGTTGCTAATGATGAGGCTTACAAGTCAAAAGATACTTTTTTTAAACCCTGAAAATTTTCAGAAAGCCAAATCTGCTCTAAAAAAAGGTATTAGACATGTTAGAGAATCCAAACGGTCCTTCAAGAAGAAACTCAAGGACAACTTTGACACCAATAACCCCAAAGAACTCTGGGCGAATATAAACCTCATCACTAATTACAAGGGCGCCAACAAGTCAGTTGACGTGATTGACGCAACTTTACCGAGACAATTGAATGAATTTTACTGTCATTTCGATTGTGGTAACAACAGTTTAGCAGATCCTGCCACTGTTGACAGTGATGAGGCACCATTTATAATAACGGAGTGTGATGTCAAACGTCAGTTCTCGTGCCTCAATGAATATAAAGCAGCTGGCCCGGATAGACTTAGTGCCCGCTTACTGAAGAGTTGTGCTGCTGAACTGGCTGGAGTTTTTACTAAGATCTTTAACTTGTCTCTCAAATTTCATGAAGTCCCTTCTTCTTTTAAAAATTCTATCATAATACCAGTTCATAAAAAGAATTCCATCTCAGGCCTTAATGATTATAGGCCGATTGCGCTCACCTCGATCCCCTTGAAGATTTTTGAGAGATTTGCTTTACAGTTTCTGAAATCGATTCTACCACCGGATTTGGATTGTCATCAGTTTGCTCATAGAAGTAACCGGTGTGTAGAGGATGCTGTTAGTCTTTGTCTTCATGAAGCTTTGCGTCATCTCGAAAAGGCTAGGTAGTATGTTAGAAACCAAGGCGATGATTGTGGATTTCCGAAGGAAACATAGGAATGATAAAGAGCCAGCTTATATCAATGGCAAGGTTGTAGAACAGGTCGAAAGTTTTAAATTACTAGGGACACACATAGCCAGGGACCTTACATGGAGTGTAAACTGTCAGGAAAATCACGAAGAAAGCCTGTCAACGCTTAATTTTCCTTACGAAAACTGACATCATTTGGAGTCCGCCAGTTTATTTTAGTTAATTTTTATCGGTGTATCATTGAGAGCATTCTTTGCTCATCAATCATTGTTTGGTTCGGCCGAATTTCTGCTAGTGACCTATACAGACTAAATTCTATAGTTCGTTCAGCAGAGAAGATTATATGTACCCACTTGCCATCACTTGAATCCATTTACAATGACAGAATGTGCAAATATTCTCGATCAAGAATGAAAAAAGAGTTTCATCCTGCGTCTGCTTATTTCACATTCCTGCCATCTAATCATCGTCTTAAAACTTTGTACGGAAGTAAATGTTTTACAAAGAGTTTGTATTCATCAGCAGTCCAGTATATAATGGGTCCCAGTGACTGTTTTAACTGTGTAGGGCCTTACTTTTTTTGTACAAGTACTTTAGTTTTGTACTTATATTTAATATTTAGTACTGTAATATCAATGTAACTTGTATTTTTTGTATGTTTTATTGAGGGCTCAAGGATGTTTTGTAACTGTCTCTCATTGGCAATCCAATCCAATCCAATCCAATCCAATCCAATCCAATCCAATGGCACTAAAATTATGAATCACAGCTAAAACCTAAATTAAAATTAAAAAAGAATGATAACCCTACTAAATAAAACTAATAAAATCAAGAATCTTGCAGTGCGATATCACTGTAAAATGCAACATTAAAAAGGTAAAGTTTTACTTTACAGTTAAAATCGGCAAGGCTCTGCTCGCACTGTATGTGCCATGGCAAGGCAGTCCATAATTTAGGAGCAGCCATTGCAAATGCCCTGTCACCAACTTGTGTGGGTAGCATTTTACCATTAGGGTAACTTAAAGGACTGTTACTTGCTGACCTGAGATGATATCTAGACTCCTTAATGATGACAAGATTCATTAAGTATCTATGAGCAAGACCATGGATGGCTTTGTATGTTAACAGGATGATTTTGAAGTTAATCCTGTACAAAACAGGTAACTAGTGAAGCAATGGTGTTGTGTGCTAAAACTTGGGTGTATTCATAAGAAGACTAGCTGCATTCATAAGAAGACTAGCTGCAGCATGAAGCTGAAGCAAGACATCAAGGCAATCGCTCACCAGCTTAGTAGGCATTGGTTCCAGATCACATGATTTGTTTGTGGACTTCACAAGTTCTTATACCTGTGACCTAGTTAGTGGTTGAAATTGGCCAAACAGAATGCCACAGGACGAAGGCGATTCAGGTAATGGATGAGAAGTTCAGCTTGCTGCAGCTGAAGTTAAATTATCAAGCCTAACATGGATATTAGATATTTTCTTCTCAAAGAAGCTACCCATGTCATTAGCAACAGACGGTTTGTTGATATAGAAAGGGAAAGGAGCATCATTAGTGTGTTTTAGTAGCTTTTTTGATGCTCTGAATAACTTCGCTTGATTAGAACTATTACTGCCAATGAATTCTCGGCAAAAATTGCCACGGGCTCTTTTCATTAGGAATGTAACTTAATTTCTTTGAATCTTGTAATCTAAAAGATCACATGCCTTATCAGTACGCCTCCACTTTCTTTCTGCCATTCTCTTCTGCCTCCCTGCTGACTTAATTTCTTGATCAAAGAAGATGCTTCCAGTGTACCGTACTTGTAACACTTGGCAAAGCTCTTCAAGATCCTGAGGGGCATTCATACATAGCTCAGAAAACTCTAAATCAGCTTTCAAAGAATCGATGTCAATTGATTAAATGTTCCAGTAAGTGACCTCCTTAACAGGGGAAGGCGGTTTCTTCTGTTTCAAGTTACAAAGAACAGACAAGTGATCAGAGAAAAAAATCTAATATAAGATTGAGTGTTGCTGAGGACCCATAGATTCCAGAAGCACCAAAACCCCATCGGTGTTATGGTCATCAGGAATGTCAACATATTATTTATCAGCAGATAAAACAATCAATTCAAAATAGTAGGCAAACTCACTCACAAAACTGGTTGGTTGTAAAAGGATGATTTGCAGAGTAAGATGGTCTATAGATAATCACCAATCGCGGTTTGTTGGAATTAATTGCAACAGACCATTCTGGGGCGCATATGTTTTTGTGATTGTGGTCATAAACATAATTTGGTCTGTAACCAATATGAACAGGA